TGTAAACAAAACAATTCGCGCTCGAATGACAAAACGTTCTGAGTGAAGTTGTCCTAAAAAATGTCAAACTTTCCAATGGAAGTGTCAGATTGCACCTGGCAGCACTAGTATTGCCAGGACCCGAAATATAAATAGTGACCCTCGTATTACCTATTTTATTATAATTATCAATAATATTATTATTGCATATAGTGATATTTAAATTTACATTTGTACCAACATATGTATGGATGTATTGAAAAGCTTTATCGATTTGATAATAATAGCAATTGTAAACAAAAGCAAGCGGAAGAAAATTATTATGTACATATTATTTTTATTTACTACATAAAATAATAATATTATGTATGCGATAAGTATTTTTGTTTGTAAATATCTTAGTTTTTTTAACAACGAACTGCATACATCGTATTATAAATATATACACATATTTCCATATATACATTCAACATATAGAAAAGCACAGCTGACTTGATGACTCGATCATGTTATATTCAGCTTTCACACCTTGATTTATGTCAAAATGAATACATTTTCAATTATATTTTGGTGGTCTCAAAATATTATTCAAAAGGGAGAAACTAAATGTGAATTGAAAATTTTTAATTTCACACTGTTTGATGTTTTTCTTAAAAGTGTACTATTATACATATGTATATTACATGTCCTAAGGTTCGATACGCTTAAGAAACACTTTTTATCAAATATTGCACACACAAATATTGCACAAATTTTTTCACCTGTGAGTGGGAACACTGGTTATAATACTTTCTAAAAACAGTTTGTTATATTTTTTCGTAATATTTTGACATTTAATATAATTATGACATTTATAGAATGCACTAAATGAGATTAAAATTAGTTTAATTCTCTTCCAATTTTTACACAGACTCTGTTTAAAGTGTCTGAATGAAATTCTTCTAATAAATTAATAAAGTAATTTTATAGCCTTAGAACACTTTATTATCGGAGTAGACAAATTTTTACTAATCAATTTTTATAATTAATTATTATTTTATTTGTAAATATGTTTCGTAAATTAAAAAATGATTTTACTGTAAACACATGTTTTTTTCTTTAAAAAATTTCCTATAAAAGAGCGCATGAACAAAAAAAAAATTAATACATATTACGAAATTATTGTGCTTATGTCAAACTACATACGTATGTGTATTGTTACGTATGCGGTTTAGCATAAGCATAAGTATTTTTGCTGCTTAACTGTACTTTAATTATAATATCTCATAAGTCATTTTAATTAATTATACAGGAGATAAGAAAAGAAAAATATCTTGTTAAAAATGTTAAGAATGAATTTAAAAGGACTTTCATATACTTATGTCTATATTTTTCATTGCAACATTGATTTATAAAAGAATCAGTTGGAAAAGTGTTCATTAACATTGCATAGGTATATAAAAATTGCAATTCTATTAACTGAAATAAATTTTTATACTTACACAATGATTTTACTATTTAAGATTCAATTTTAAATTTTTTTATAAATAAATTCAATTTTTAAATTTTATTAATTTATTTAAAAACTCTTCACGGTAATTATTTGTAGGTTCAATATAGACAAGTAAACACGTCTATAAAAATTCAGTATAATTGACTAATAAATTATTTAGTGTCATAGTATGAAAATTAAATGATAGTACAGTTAATTTCTCACAATTAAAAATTTAAAAATTAACTTATTTTTTATCGATTTCAATTATTTAAAAAAAAAATACGTATTTTCTTAAATAAAATAACGATTCTTGAGTAATTCATTTTTCGAAAAATCAAAATATGTATTCGATTTTCTCAAATTAAAATTTATGATTATAGTCCAATTAAATTCTGAGAGAATATAAATGTAAAAAAAACGTGCATGTATTTCATAAACATAATATTATAAACATTATTTATACAAATATTGTAGGTATATAAAAATTAAACTACATAATATCGAAATAGATACTATTTGTATAAACATACACATATGATTAAACATTATGTAAATGAATGCAAAGAACTTTCACATTGGAATTTTTTAAAAATACAAAAACAAAAAAAAAGAAAATGAAAGTAAAAATGTAATAATAAATACATTCACAATTTATTATCAAAATGTTTTCATCTATGGTATATACCATGTGTTACGTGGTATCTATATTGCATTAAGTAAATATTATGTGGTATCACCTCACCGCATTTAAATACTTCTTCATGTACTACAGTATACTCTAGTAGTTATTGTATGTAGATTTTTAATACTTTTTCAAAAAAAAAACAAATCTGTATGTCTATTTACAAAACTTCTTCATCTTTTGAGATAAAAAGTTGAAATTTTTTATATATACATACATATTCATTTAAAAGTCATTGCCCGTGAAGGTTCCCAAAATTGAATTTTTGACTACTTATTGTATCGAAACCTAGGTATAATATTATTTTAAATTCTGCAAACGCCCAAAAGCAGCGATTGACTTCTTCTACCATCGAAAATTATAAAAAAATATTACAATGACAAAATGGTCATTGAATTTTACCGTTATCTAAAACCGGTTTCTTTTTTTCCAATTTTTTACATTTTTTTTTTTTATTTTTTGACGATTTTACAATACTTATATGACACACTCGTCTTATTATTTAAACTTAAAAGTCGAATTCGGCTATTATGATAACGGTTTCTTAATTTGTAATCATCCTAGATATATTCAATAATTTAATATATTTCAGATTTTGAATGGAAATAATTTAAATAAAGCATATTTTTTTAAAATACAATTTTCACATGCTCAAGAGGGAAATGTGCTATTTTACAAATCCCATTGGTTTGATTCGAATATAAGTATTTTTATTTTTTTTAAATTATATTTATTTTTTATGTTCATTTCATTGAATCATGTAACATTTTATAAAAGATAAAAATAATGCAACCAAAATAGTATGCATTACATTAATAATAGAATCAATTGTAGACAATATAAAATTTTTCTATTTTTTTATACTCTCATAGTTTTTTTTTTTGGTTTTGTATGATAAGAAACTCTAAATGATAAAAATAAAATGTTTAAGATAATAAAAAACGAAATAAAAAATTAAAAATAGAAATACATTCATATAACATGTATGTATGTAGATAAGTATAGCGTATAAACACTATGCATTAGTATTTAAGTTTCCTTGCATAAAACTTTCCTATACTAATGTTTACGCATGCAAAAGTTAATACTTATTTGTACATGTACGTATATTTTTAATTTATTTGGAAAATAATATCACGCATTTTTTAATTAAATATTGAATTGGTTTTAAAAATATAATAGGTATTATAATTTATATTTTTATTTTAATTAACGTACTCATATATTATAATAACAACATACTTATGAACTATGTACAAACAACGTGCATATATGCAGGCGCCTGAATCTTTCTTTAACACAAATTGTAAACGTGTTATTTATTATAATATGTTATGTAAAAATTAAATACATAATAATCAATTTTTCTTTCCAATAAAATATTAAAAATACAATGGATAATAAATAAACTCAAAACAATATTATAAATAGGTTGTTTTGCAAAAATTATTCTTAGAAGAAAATAATAATACAAAAGCGAAAACGAATTGTACATACTATTAAGTACATATGCATGTACATGTCTTCATACATAAATTAAATAAATAAGCCCCTTGACCGTATAAAATTTATTAAAAAATTATTTAGAGCTATGCATATATGTACATAATTCGTTCATTATGATTAGTGTATTACAGATTTTTAAAAATATTTACAAATCAATTAAATTAAATACAAAAAGTACTTATAAATGTATACTGTAAATACATTTTACAATTATGTATGAATTTAAATTATAGGTATGTACCAATATATAATTTCAATATTAATATTTATGTATACTTAAAAATAAGGATAAACCAACAATATTTAAAACAAAAATACTGTTATGAACAATATTGCAATATGAAATTAAGTACCTAATACTCAAAAAATATGATAACACAAAACTACTAGTTACATATAAGTATATTTAAGTACTATAGTAGATAGTAGTAGATAGCAAAAAATTTTTACTTTAAAATTGTCGTAAATTAGAAAATAATTGACGTTAATTAACAAACAATAATTAGGTTCAATTAAATATTTAAGATTTCTTGTTGATATCGGCCACATTTAAGTGAAATAAACATACTATCAGGAGAAAATACATATATGTATGTATATTAATTTCATCAAAGTGAACTTACATGCGTATACATACATATTATTACAACTTCCCGAGTAATTGATGAAAGTATTTAATAAAATAGAACGTTGTTTTGAGGAAAATTCTATTATACAAAAATTAAAAAAAAAACTAAATTTACAAATTCAAATGCATAATATCAAAGATTTTTTATTATAAGTAGGTATCTAACTATTCACTTATTTTTGATAGTTCATAGGAAATTTAGGATTGTTGTACATTTGGAATATATTATATAGGTATGCTATACGTTTAAAGTATTGTTTCATTCCATTAATACATAACGTATGTACCCACACAAATTATATTATTATTATGTAGGTACAATTGAATGTAGATACATACATATATTATTTTAAATAAATCTGATAATAACAATAAAACCTAATATAAATTTTAATTATTTTAATTCATACCTCTTTTATTTTAAGAAATTTTTTATTTTAAACACCGTCTTTTAACTTTTTATTTTTAATTATTTATTGTTAAATATTTGTTTTATTTATTTAATAATATTACGAGTATCAATTTTATAATTCTTTTTTTTTTTTTTGGACAATAATTTTCTATTTATTTAATATCTTATTTATTCTTATTTCTTTCTCTAATGCACATTAAATTTAATTATCTTATTAATATTGAGCACTATTTGAATTTTAGTATTACAAATAATCTAAAAATTATTGATGTGTACATAGATAAATTTTACCTACATGCATATAAATATATATACTTACATAAATATAATTACAATAAATTAAAAAGAAAAAATAAAATTTTCACTTGTTTAATTTTTTTTCTCTTCTTTTTTAATAGATAATAGATGTAAAAATTGTAAAAACTCTTTTTAATTGTTTAAAATTAAAAAAGAAAGAAAATTCTAAATAAAAAATATGTTAAGTAATAAGTACACAGCAAAATATAATTTGTTCCTTTTCCTTTTCTTTTTTTTTTGTTATTTTTTTTATTATTTCACGCCGACTACATGAATTGTATGCCGTCAATAACTGAAGAGAAATAACTGAAAACAATTTTTTTTTTTAATATACGTGAATGTTGGCTTTTTAAGTTTTTAATTTTTTCCTCGAAAGCTTTCATATTTAGCTTTGGTATGTGATATACTTACATATATATTTACATATGCATGTGTCAATTTTAAATACTGCTATACTCTACAATTGATTACAGCGCTGGAAAACCTACCATTTCTTGCCAAATTGTGCCGCGCAAAAAAAAAAAAACAAAAAAACATTTTCTATTTACTTTTCAAATGAAATTAATTGATTTTTAATGTTGTCACGACTAAAAGGCGAGTTATCTTGAATTATATTATAAAATAGAGGAAATTTTCGTTTGATGTCTTTTATTTGTCTGTAATCATTCTATTATCCGGCATCGAGAATAACATATAGTCGCAGACACGATGAATAAAAAAAATGTTTCATAGATTTTTTGCGGTATGTTTTTGGTTCGTTATTTAATCAATTTGGTCTAGTCTGGTTTAATATATAAATTATAACATATAAATATGTACATATCAATCACGTTAAAATATAATAATATATAGGCTAACAATGCTTTACAACAAAAAAATATAATATTTTTGCTATTTATGCGAATTCAAATAAAATACATAAACTGCAATGTAACGTAACAGTAAAGTACCTATAAAAAGTAATATAGTTTCTAAATGACAGCGGCTCCTAGAACGAAGGGTAGTCCTCTACTGGGAGCACTGTAATCATTCTGTACTAAAAACCGATGTAGAACCACAGAATAGTCCTAGTAAAACTATGGTTCCTGTCATCATTGTCACAAAAAATTTAATGAAAAATTGAACGAAAGAATAAAACTATCTCTCAGCAGTTCTCATCAAAGAAAAAATTACTGAATTATAAAAGCTGTTTTATTCATTTTTTTAAATGATAACACCGAATTTTTTTCCACATAAAATTACCACCAACTATTTGATGATTATGATGAAACCAAAAATTAATAATAAATATTCACTAATGTCTGAATGATAAAAGTAAAGATGATGGGCTCCTGCAGTGTTTAAGATAATTTTTTGATGGTTACTTTCTCAAAGAGAAAGAAATTTTAAGGATATCAAATTTTCCCCTTATTTTTTATCCGAAATCATTTACCAATTGTTTACATTACATATTTTTTCTTCTTCCCTCTTCAATTTTTATTGACACAAAATAATGAAAATGTTTTGCATCGTGAAAACGGATTTTTTTTTGGGTAAATTATTCTATATTACTTGATCTGCCTTTGCAAAGCCTTTTGGTGCACTCAATAATTGAGGTTCTATAAAGGTTCTATAAAGTTCTATGTATATAAAGAAACATATATGTATGTAATATCCGTTTGATATAACTTAAATCGCATTCATTTTATTACATTTATTACATTTAATACATTTAAATTTAGAAAAAAAAAAAAACAATTTAATTAATTAAAGTTGATATATAAAATACTTAATTAAATTAATAATTTACAAATTGTGATTTAATCCTCATTTCCCCAAATAAGAAAGAACATAATCTATCAACAGCAAATGCCAAAATTGTATCACCAACTAACACCATAAGTAAAGTTTTTCGATACTAAAATTAAATTATTTTAATTTAATTATAAATTAATTTAAATACAAATATTACATCGTCTGGAAAATCTACAATTTCAAAAACTGAAGTCAATTCAGGAGCTATACCCAGGGCTAAAATTGCTACCACTGAACTTGACGCAATGATGGAATACATCAGTAACCTGTTTTCTCTTAGACTTTCCATAAACGGATGTCCCTATTGTGGACAATTAAAAAATTTAAAAAAAATAGATAACTCAAAATAAACCATATAGTTCCCAAAATTGTTTATAATTCAATCTTTTTCTTACTTTATAATTAACAGCAAAAGTTGAAACCTGCAGAGCTAAACATATTATATATACGGTACTATTAACAATATTTGGTTTAAATTCATCCTTTTCATCAGGGTTTAAGTCAATATTCAATTTAATCTTTCCCTCTCTAAAATTTTTTTAATACATGCATTAATTTTGGAAGAATTCTTAAAATATAAAAAAAAAACAAATTTCATAAAAAGTTATTTACCTTGGTTCGCTTCTCGCTTGAGCTTCTTGTGAAAGATATATTAAAGCTGTAAAGTGTACGGCAAATTGTAATAAAATTGTCGAAATTGTATATAAATTAAATATATTTGGCAGAGGTGCTTGCTTCGATAATGTTTTCAATGGCTAGAATTATTTTAAAAATTATTCTCTTTTCCATATGAAAGAAAAAACAAAAACATTTGGTTTGATTGGAATACCTTCGATCTAGTTATGAACAAAAAGCAACAAGCAATAAATAAACCTTGAAGAGTAGCTTGAACATCACTAAATTTAACACCATCCAAGTAAAGTACAGACTGGCAATAAGCTGAGATCAAAGCGTTTAATGCCAAAATTTTGAACATTTGAAGTGTAGTAACTAAAGTGCAGCGCCCCTGTTTAATTATGTGACAAACTAAAAAAAAAAAGGCGTAAAAGTGTTAAAAAGGTTTACGCATACTTTACATAAATTAGAAAATATTACCACAACTAATTGAGGAAGATTTACTAGTAAACGGAGCAGCAATACTAGCATCTCCCAATTTAACAATCTGAATTTGCTCTTCATCTAATTCTTTTAAAGCTTTTTGTATGTTTGCTGTTGCTTCTCGATTTTTCATTATCGCTTTTTCCCTTGGCGTTAGAGCCCTTTGCTCACCATCTCTATTTGAAATGCTGCTTATTTTGTTTCGCAGGTTCACATTATTTGGAATATTCTCATCATGTAAATTAAGAATTTCGTTTTCCCTTCTTTTTCTTTTTGGTGGTTTGCTCAATAAAGAAACACCGACATTTGCATGCTTTAAAGCTCCTACATCATTTGTACCATCACCACACATTAATGTATAATATCCTAAGTTTTTCAAAGTAGTTATAACTTTTTCTTTTTGTTTAGGGGCGAAACGAGCACACACAGTAATGTAAGGCAATAATTTAAGCATATACTCATGCTGATACTCATTCAAATACTGTAATCCATCACCAGTTATACAAAAATCAAATTCATCTAACAAGTTATAAATATTTTCAGTTGATTTAAAAGACTGTGAACAATCAACTGATTCCCAAAACCATGTTTTTTCATGTTTTGTCAAAATTAATAAGTCTTTTTTGGTGAAGCGTAATTCTTTCGCAACATGACAGGCTGTAAGAGGGTTATCTCCAGTTATCATCATAACTTTGTGAGAGGCTTGAATTAATTCCACCACAATTTTTTTTGAATCTGGTTTTAAAGGGCATGAAATAATTATAAAACCTGCAAAATCCAAATCTTTCTCTACGTCTTCACGTTTAATATCTCGCACAGCACCGGTTTCTAACTTTCCAAACTCTTTAATGCCCAAAGCCAAAACTCTTGCACCTTTACGCGAATATTCTAAATATGTCTAAAAAGTAAATTACATTAACTTAAAATTTAAAATATTGAAAAGAAAAAAATGATTATAAATCTAATTTCTTATAGGTAAAAATTATTTAAAAATTTTCATTGCTCAAAATTTCATGAATACACACCTCTTCATACCCTTTAGGTACTTTTTTTAGCATATTCATCAAAACTTCTGGAGCTCCTTTAACAGTTCCAATATAAAAAACATCATTTGAAAACGGCAGTAAATAACCAGCTAAAACTGACATTCTCTTAAGAGCAGATGAAAAATAAAATCTATGATATATTTTTAAGGCTTTAAATTTCCCTCGTTTTGGAATAACACTATCTTGTTTAGTTAAATTCCAATCAATTGCTGTCAATGTGGCTTTTTCTAACGGGTCACCTACCAAACCATCTTCTAACTGTGCTAGAGAATGGCAGGTAGCTAGAACTTGTACAGAACTTTCCGGTATTTCATTAATAGGCATTACTTCACTTTTCCCATTCAGACCAGCAACACCTTCTACCATCAAATCGTCACTTGTTAAAGTTCCAGTTTTATCAAAGCAACAAATTTGCACTTTTCCTGCAAAAGGAATCCTAAATGGTTCTGTGCAAAAAATAAAAAGCTTTGATAATTGCAATAATGATGTGTTGACTGCCAAAGACAATTCTATAGGCAAGTCAGGTGGAATTATTGAAGTTAAAATTAATGTACACTCCAAAAACAATTTATATCGATTTCTTTCTGGATCTTCTGTGCCTTTAATCCAGACATACGATGCAGCCGAGAGTGCAAAGACTAACAAGAATAAAATAAATGCAAATGTTTCCAAATTATTTTCAGTTACACGTTTTACTCCAAAAAGTATAGTTCTTAAAAGTTTGCCTTGAGATGTGTTAAAACCATTTCGAATTACATATCCAATACATCCACCATCTGGAGCCCGAATTGAATCCTTCGTAGGGGAAGTATGTTGCACAACTTTAGTTCCTCCAAATAAAACAAATAGTTTTCCTTCACCATCTGGATCTAGTTCTGTACTAAGATTATCTAGTGTTTCTAAAGATTCCTTCATTTGCGGTACTGATTCTCCGGTCAACATACTTTCGTCAACAATACATGACCCACGTAATAAAACCATATCACAAGGAACTATATTTTCATTCTGATTTCTTACTATTGAAACAACATCCCCCGGCAATAACTCACTGGACTCTATTGGCCGCCACTTATTATTTCTTAACACGTTGATAAAATACGGTTTATTTCCCATTTTCCTTATTTCTGACATATTTCTTAACTGTTGTTGAACTAAAGTACATTCGAAAACAATTAACATGCATAATGTAAATAATGAATAATACCAATATTCATCAAGGCACCAAAGGCCAACGGAGAATACTTGAAAAACGAAAAATGGAGCAGTAGCTCGCTCAATAAAAAGTTGATAGAATTCTGGAATTACCATTTCCATCTTATTTTTCCCATAAACTTTTGTGGCTAAGGAAATTGCAGAATCAGTCTCTAAACCTCTAGATCTGCTATATTCTTTAAGCTGCCTATTAATCGGAAACTCCAATCCCCGAAATGTTCGTTTTTCCTCATCCCAAATGTATTTAATCTTTTGAAACATAAACCAATATTGAATACGTTTATCGTCTTCATTTATTGCTGTCGCTTGAATCTTAACTATTTCCGATGAACCATTGTTTGGAGTCGGAACCACTTTGACCAAAACTCCGAGCTTTGGTTCTTTAACCTTGAATAAAATACATAATTGGCATACATTCTTTCTAATTCTTAAAAATTTTACCGTTCTGCAATTTAACAATGTTTGTATGTGAACACTCCAAAAGCAACATAAAAGAGTTAAAATATGCCAAAAACCTATTACTACTATTGCAATAAACCCAGCTTCATCGTACTCTTCTCCGTTGTAAACATAAATCCAAAGATATATTGAAGTTACATATAAAGCCGCAAAGGGTAAAACTATACCACTTAAATAAACTGGTGTTAGTACATGAAGGGTGACGTAGCTAATCTGAAATTATAATGTAAGCAATTTTTTGAAGAATTGATTATCCTTTATACCAAATCATCAAGCCGTGGTTGTCTTTTCGCTTTTGTGGACATTTTTAAGTTAATACCGGTTTAATTAATACAGTATGACTCTAAACTTATTCATTTAAAAAATTTTTGTCTTACTGAGAAATCTAAACCAAATCAAAACCACACAATTAGACACTTTCAATTTATATTTTACTTATTTAAAATCTTTTGGAATGTCAAAATAATATCAAAATGAAGAACTGCCATTAGTAACAAAACAAAAATCACTCATTTTGAGTAAATTTTCTAAATAAAATTTCTTCGTTTTTTATTCAAAATAGTCCTGTTTACACATGTATGCAATAGGTATAAGCACAGCACTTCTTTCACGTTAACTTTTACAAATTTTTCATTATATATTTTTCTGTACGGTGTTGCTTCTTTCCAACTGCCTTTTAAATTTTTCAACATTTAGCTATAAGACAATTATAGTTATATAAACTTTAACTTTTTTGATTTTTAAAATAAACTGAAGCTGTCCAAAGCATTATTTGTCTGTTCGCCGGCAAATTTCACATCATCACTTCACTATCGTTGACAAATTTCCGCACCTCTAAATCCGATTGCCGAAACTAATACGTGTAACATTGACTAGAATTTTTTACGTCAAAATAATTTGTAATTGATACTCCAGCGATAACAGCATTTCCGCACAAATTTTACCTGCAGAATCTGGCGAAACTAGTGAAAGAATTGAATAAGATGTAGAATCATGCAAGGCTGCTTGCGTATATTATATCTACGCTTAAACGGTAATAATGTTCTACTTCAAAGTCAAATATGTATGTCTGTTTATTATGTTAGTTAGTAGAATAGTTTTTTAAACACATTGATTAGTACAATAGTTTGCAATAAACTTTTTTTTTCAGCTTTAAATAGATGTACATATAAAAATATATAACATTTTAATGTAAATTCGAAGTGCATATAGTAGTTTCTACTACCGCTAGAAGGTGTTGATTTTGATATTAAATGATCGAGAATCGATACTCTACACTAAACGAGTATTTAAACAAACGCGTATCGGCGTATGCTGAGCTAAACTAGGCAAAGAATTATTAAAAACTTGTGTTAACTTGTTAAGTGAACTAAAACTCTGCTTGAACTTCCACTTTTTTTTGAAAACGTGAAAGGAATTAGATATTTGCACAAAAATTAATTTTATCAGATCGTTAAAAGTTAAACAAATAATACAGGTGAATTTCTTGCATATTATTAATTTTCTTAGCTAATAAAATATTATTGAAATGAGCGAATAACGTGAAAATAAAGAGTAGACAAAATTTTATATGTGTTACATATGTATATTAAAAAAAAGATGGCGTCACCACGCCGCCTTAATTAGGCAAAAATTATAACCTATTTCGTTTTTACATGAAATTAAGTTAAAAAATGGCTGATAATGATGACCTTTTGGATTATGAAGATGAAGAGCAAACTGAAACGCAAGTAACGGAAACACAAGAAGCCCCAAAAAAAGATGTTAAAGGAACATATGTATCAATTCATAGCTCAGGGTTTAGGGATTTCTTGCTTAAACCAGAGATATTAAGAGCTATTGTTGATTGCGGTTTTGAACATCCATCGGAAGGTATGTATCAACTGTATTTAATACATTAGGAATCTAACCATTTAAGAGAATGACAATAAAAACGCACAAAATCAATTACAGAACCTTATTATAATTTTAACTTTTTATACAATTTCAGTTCAACATGAATGTATTCCTCAAGCTGTTCTAGCGATGGATATTTTGTGTCAAGCAAAATCAGGTATGGGCAAAACAGCAGTTTTTGTATTAGCCACATTGCAACAATTAGAGCCCACTGAAAATCATACTTATGTATTAGTAATGTGTCATACAAGAGAACTTGCATTCCAAATTAGTAAAGAATATGAAAGATTTTCGAAATATATGCCAAACATTAAGGTAGTTATTTATTCTATTATTGCCATGTCAACACATTTTATTAATTGAAAATTAACAATTAAGGTTGGTGTTTTCTTCGGTGGTCTACCAATACAAAAGGACGAAGAAACCTTAAAAAACATGGTACCACATATTGTTGTCGGAACTCCAGGTAGAATTTTGGCCCTAATCCGCAATAAAAAACTTAATCTCAAACATTTGAAACATTTTATTCTTGATGAATGTGATAAAATGTTGGAGCAATTGGGTAAATATATCAATTTGATTTATTAAAATTTTTTAAATATTTTCATTTATGATGATAATTTTGATAGGGACATCCGATATATTGTGATGATTTATCAAGTTTTTAAAATCTGAGAAAACAATACAGTTTCTAAATTTTAGTTATTTTAATTACTTTTATCAAAAGCTCGTGAAAAACTTTTAGCTTTCTGCGATAAGAGAAAAAATATTTGAGTTTTAACTTTATTTCTTTTCGATTTGTAAAAGTTTATTCCGTTAATTATTTTTATAAAATTGAATTGTTTTTATAATTCCGAATACATACATATGTACATATGTATATCTGTCGAGCCATCAACTGCTTATCCATCGAGCCATCAAACTATTTATGTGAATACCTTATAATTTTTTAACTCTGCATTTGAATATTCAATGTTAAAATTTCATAAAAATCGGTTTGAAATTTTGTTATTTTATTAAAATCTTTATAAAATTATGTTTAGAACTGCGGTCGCAGACTGTTCGTTTTAGTTTAAAGTTTTGTGAAAATTTGCGGCAAGGAAGTAGCACCATATATGTTTTGATGAGGTCATTTATTTGTTTAAATTGAATTTCTTTTAGTTTTGAAATTTATTTTTATATAGAGTGAAGTAATTAGAACTCCAAATATGAACTCAAATTTTATTACAATTTATGCTGAAAATAGTTTTAAAAAATTGACAATAACTTGTGAAATATAAAATGAAAGTTTATAAAAATCATCGACATTCCAATTGTCATTGGCTTTTTACTGCGCATTCAAAATGTTTTATGAACTATGGGAGATTATAATAACTTTTACAATATGGAAATTTCCAATACCTTTATTTTTTTATCACAAAAAATTAGCGGGAAAATTTTCTTTTGTTGGTGATGTCCAGCAAACCAAATTTAACCTTAAAAAAAAGTCATTTTTTTTTGTCATATAATTCGCTGTCATATCATAAGGAAGAGTACAAGTCAAAAACAATAATATTGTTTAAGATGAATATAAAAATATAATATATATGGGTTTAATGTATGCATATGCAAGTGCAAAATTTCAAGGGAATTTCATGGTTATTCCTTGTAAATATACGAACTAAAACATTCAGTTATTGATGCCTGATTTAGAAATGGTCCTATTTTCAGTCAGAGTAAAAATTGTTTCAATCAAATTTTAGGTGCCTAGATCAACATAACCTAAAAAATTACTTGGTATTTATTTCTAAAGACATTTAAATTCTATTATTTATCTTTGACCCCGACGAAATAAATTTTGATAGTGTGCTTGTGCTCCTATATATATGTATATGCTTTCAAATAAAATTTTTATGCTAAAATTTTATATCCGTAAAAGAAATATGTAAAGTTGATTAAATAACTTATAGCAAGCTCCTTAGATCCATTTTCGGCTAAAAGAAAATGATTGAGTCATAAGCTTGCCAAATAAAAGTAGCCAATATTTTTATATATTAATTGATATTAGCATTCACAGTGTAAAATTATACGTAAACCAAATTTAACGTAAAATTTGTGTAAAATATGCGATATATTCTGAACAGATTATTCTTGATGCATTCAATATTTTTTTGTTTGTGGATAGATCTTCTAATTAAGATAATCGTGTAAAATACACAAAGAAGTTACTTTTGGGAATGCATACGATATCAATTGAACATATAATGGCTACATTAAACTCCGAAAAATTGAATTAAAATTATAAACTGTATTGTTAATTTACCAAAAATAGATTATTTTGCTCTAATAAATTTTAGATATACACACTAATCAAATTTTAAAATTTTATTTTCCAGATATGCGACGTGATGTACAAGAAATTTTCCGCAATACACCACATGGAAAACAAGTTATGATGTTTTCTGCTACACTGAGTAAGGAAATCCGCCCGGTCTGCAAAAAATTTATGCAAGATGTAAATATCCAGAGATTCTACTTAATTTGAACTTCCATTAATCTACATATATAAGTTATTGTGAAGTCTTAGGGGAGATAACTGCAGTATTCCAACCGGGTGGAACATCCTTATAAAAAAATAAGTCTGAAAAATACTGAAATCTTGTTATGGGGTCGTATTAAGCAATGAATAAATAATTTGGCATCTACTTATATTCAAAACAGTATCGTAAAAACCGGGAAGATTTACCTTCACGCTGAAGATATTAGGGGTTTTAAAAATTTTTATTAAGAGGCATTTTCTTCGAATAATTTTAATATGGGGGTGTTAGTTTAAGAGTCAATCGAAAAATGTGGTGAAACAAACTTTATGGATAAGAAAATTATCAATTCCAATTCAAAACAAAAAAACCTGAACCGATTTTAGCAAATCCATTAACATACAATTCACGTCGTTTCTTTTAACATTATACAATATTCAAACATTAAAACTCCAACAGTTTCGTATTACAATAACAATTATTGCTCGAACCAATTCTTCTAAGAAGAAGTATTTTTTACTTCTAAGATAAAGTGTTCATTCGTTTAGAAAAATAATTAAATGTTTTTGATGGTTGTACGTGTGTTTAACATTACACCATTTTCAACAACTACAAGGATGGATTGCAGAAAATACAATATGTAGCCGTATGTATTAATATAAAAAAACGTAAAATTACAATTTACAGTCTTCGCTTAATATTCTTTTAACGATTTATTAAGAGAAAAAGAATATTGGAATTCTAGAATACATCCCCCATAACTTGAAAATAAAGAGGCAAACAAGATTCAACATTGTTTATAGTTTTTCGGATAAAAGATAAGCGGAGGACACCCGTTTTGGAACTGGCTTAATTAATTTTTTCTTGTTTTATATTTCTAATAATAAAAATTTTCTCACAAATATAAAAATTTTCTATTAATTTTTGCAGCCAATGGAGGTTTATGTTGATGATGAAGCAAAACTAACTTTACATGGTTTACAGCAGCATTACGTTAAACTGAAAGAAAATGAAAAAAATAAAAAACTATTTGAGCTTCTTGATGTCTTGGAATTTAATCAAGTTGTTATATTTGTAAAATCTGTTCAACGTTGTATGGCGTTAGCACAGCTTTTAACTGAACAAAATTTTCCTGCTATTGGAATTCATAGAGGAATGAATCAGGAAGAACGTTTATCAAGATATCAACAGTTTAAAGATTTCCAAAAGGTTTTTTTTTTTTGTACGACATTAAGTAATATGAATTAAAATTTCTTGTCTTGTTTTTCTAGCGTATTTTAGTGGCAACTAATTTATTTGGACGTGGAATGGATATTGAACGTGTCAATATTGTTTTTAATTATGATATGCCAGAAGATTCTGACACTTATTTACATAGAGTTGCAAGAGCAGGTCGATTTGGTACCAAAGGTTTAGCCATTACTTTCGTGTCAGAAGAATCAGATGCAAAAACACTAAATGAAGTTCAAGATAGATTTGACGTTAATATTACAGAATTACCTGACGAAATTGATTTATCATCTTATAGTAAGATTTTTAAAAAAATTTTGTTTTTTATCATTTAATTTATTTTTAAAAATTTAATTTTACAGTTGAAGGACGATAGACTGAAAGAGAAATACACTCACATTCATTTAACTTACAGTGTGGGAAATTTTTGAATTTTTTTGAATGTTCAAATAAGAAATTATAATTAGATTGTAATGAACATAAATTAATAAGCATAATTTTTTAATCCAATTAAACAGTATAAAAATATTTTTTTTTTCTCTTAAAACTTTTTGTTTTTATTGCAATTCCTTTGTACCTAGTAAAAATTATTATAAACTAGTTGATGTAGGTACAGTTTAATGTTGATCGGCGAATACATTTTAATATAAGTGGTTTGAATCATTTTGTTAACCTGCATTATATAAAAGTTGCCTAATTCATTCAATGTCCAAAATGCAAACCTAAATGTTTGTAACTATAATAGTTCCACTTTCAAATTTCGCAAGAATTGATCAGTAGCGTTAATCAATAATTTAATTAGTACCATTAGCAATAAAGAAAAGCTAATGGAGCTTACTTTTGTGTAGAGTGGAAAATTTAAATAAAGAAATCCAATCTATATTTTATAGACTACATGGCTCGCAGTACAAATTTGGTTCATATATGTACCCACTTTGTATTTAAAATTAAAAACAGCAAGTAATGTATAAAATTTTATTAAAAATTGAAAAAATATGTATATTTTTTATATTTGCAAAAATCTGAAAATATAAAATGCTACATGAAAGGATTCAGCAAAATTTGGGTTGTTACATCGACAGCTTTATCACCTTGCTTTTTTAAGGGGACCATATCTAATTCATCATCGGTGCACTCACTTGTTTCATTTTTCCTTTTTTTATTATTCAAATTTTCTTTATTATTGTATTTTAACCAAAATTCTTTTGGCTGAGCGAATTCGGTTAAATTAAAAAACTTTCTACAAACACCAAACGCCAAATCATCAATGTAGCTTTGAAAGGATGTATCCCAATTTAATAGGATTTCTGAAATTTTTGGTATTATAGAAATTGCTTTCTCTACAGCGCATAACTATAAAAAAATAAAAATGAATTATTTTAAGACAAGTCACAAGATTGTAATTATTATCTTACGCCGTCATTTATTGTCGGTGCATTACTTCTCCTTCCCTTTTTTGAACTATCGGAGTTCTTATTTTTTGTATCAGTACCTTCATTGCTCGTGATTGGTGTATCATTTAACTCATTGTTCACTTCAGTGTTTTTAGTTTCTTTTTTCTCTTGCATATAACTGCAAATTCTTTTTAAAATATAGAGCATGTCTTTTATTGTAGAATATCCTTCTGTTGTTTTAATAGATTCATCTTTTAATATTTTTCCATATATAATCTTCAAATTGTCGAAAAACATTAGAAGATTGATATCATCAATTTTCATAATAAATGCATTATATAGTAAATATCGAGATCTACGATGTTCCTCTCCATTTAATGGAGATCTTATTTCAATACCAGAAAAACTATCAAAACCATCAAATTGCTGAAAAGAGTAAATTTTTTTGGATTTTTGAATTTGTGTATATAATTATTGCTTTTACCATATAATCATTATAAACAAATGGGCACTCCAGGAGACATGTTTGAAATAGTAATGAATTTTTTCTTTCTAGATATGTCAAAAAGAAATCTGTTGCTTTGTTCGATATTCCATCATCATCATCTAACATTACTGTCATCAAACATAATAGCAAATTACCACGTAATTTTAATTGGTCTTGCAAAACTAAAGTAGACAAATTTGTAAAGGTTGCCATTCTATTTTCAGAATAAGCTGACTTTAATTTTGTTAACATAATTCCCAAAATCATTTCTACAACATTTGTATGCCTTTTACATAAATCTGTTAAAGCTGTCAATACTGTATTTACGACCGCTGGACGATCGATCTTCTTTAAGATATTTCCGAAAAGATAACATGTTGTAGAAGCCGTTGATGCATCTCTTAATGAAAATCTTACTGATAACAAAATCATTTGGTTAAGCATATTAATATCTTCAGAATCGTATTCGGATTCTGGAATATTCAAATGCTCATGAATAGCGTTATGAATAAATTTTACAATTTTTTCGTTTGGCCTAATTAGTAATTCCAAATTTGTTTCAGCATATGAAAATATATATGACATAAAGCGATTTTTATGCTCGTAAAATTTTTCTAAGTTTTCTATCAAATATTTTTCGCATAAATTATGAATTTCTTCAACCCATTTCAAATGAGATCTATCAATATTGGCACCAGGAACCCTTTTATTTTCTGACTGACCACTTATAGTCATACATAAATCTAAAGATTTACTTATTATAGTAGGTGGTAATACACCGTCTTTCATTAATTTCGTTATACAGCTAAATGCCATATTTAGAGCAGAATGACTGAATTCCTTGACACACTTCGAAAGCACTTCCAGAATTATATGCAAATTTTGTTCTGCATTCCACTAAAAAAAAACACCAATAATTTGTTGTTATTTCCATATGAGCAATGCTTACCGACTGTTCTTGCATAGATTTTATGAAAGAAGAAATAAGAGAGTCCGGCTCCCTGAACCTGACTTTTCCAGCAACAAAATTTAAAAGGATCCATGCTTCAGTCGAATTAGGCGTTAAAGTTTGTGACTCCAAATATCCTAAAATTTTGTGACTAAAAAAATATAGCGCTTTTTAAAATTTTCTTAAAAAACAATTTTAAATTTATGAAATATGTATGTATGTATGTATGTGAAAAATAATTTTTAAACTTGCGAAGGCTTACTTAATAGCCTCATTTTTTATTGCACTGTTTATGCAATTTTGTAGATGCTTTCTTCTTTGTGTTGAAAGTAACACTCTAACAATAACCCATGGCATAAAATGCTCAGCTTGATTTGATTGTTCAATGCCTTTAATATTATCAAAAACTTTTCGTTTAAAGCACTAAAAATAAACAATGAGTAAAATATGCAACACAGTGCTTTTTAAAATAAACCTCTACAGCTATTTCAACGTTTCTGTTGTCGCAGTCGTCAAGTAGTGGAACTAATATTTTACACCAAGTCCATATGAGAGGATAACAATTCGGATATTTGTCTAAAACGTTGTCTATCATTTGTAAAGCTTGCCTTCGTACTAACGAGTTAGGGTCATAAGATAAAGATGAACAGTTCTAGAAATTTGACACTACAATATTAAAAACAAGAGTTTTTCAAAATTATACTTTAACAAAATTCGAGTTATATATAATTAAAGGATTTATGACAACAATGGTTTCCATTAAAGAAATAGCAGCTTTTCGCACATATCCGTTTAAGTTGTTAAATAGCATGTACAAACTATTTGGAAGATTATTAAATAAATTTTGTATAACTTCATGTCCTTCGAAACTGTATACGGGTTCCAATGGATCTGGTTTTTCGAATCTTATCTCTTTTTTACTTATACGAGGTTCCTTTGGCAGAAAGACATCTGAATCAGGAAATTTGGCAAATTTAATACTTTCGTTCAAAATTGTTTTAGCATTTTCTGTTCCTTTAACAAAAGCTTGGTGAAAACCATGTAACGCTTTCAATTTAATTGTGTTGTTTATGTCATGAAATCGATTTAATATTTCTTTTAATACATTTACTTCTCGAGGAATACTTGAAATTTCATGACAAAATACTTCCCAGTTAACTTTAGCCTCAATGAGAATCAAGCGATTTGATAGCTCCAAAGCGTTCTGCCTGATAACAACATCCTCTGCACAAAGAGCACTTGACAAAAATGGTATCACAGTCTCATTGCAGTTTATATATAAAAATGAATCATACTTCGCAGCATAATCTAAAATACGCTGATATTGCTCGGGTCTCCACTATTGATCAAAAAATCATTCAGCTGTTATTAAAATCTCAAAGTACATAATATATTAGTACTGAAAAAATATACATACCCTTTCTTCAGGATTTGTTATAATTGCTTCAACAAAATATTTTAAGACATTTGTTAAAACCCGTGGATATTTAGAAATTGACGCCACGAACCAATCAGAAATATGTTCAATAAAGTTTGAAGCGGTACTGAATTGTTGGTGCCTTTTTATAAGAGGAGGATGGGTATGAAGTGCATAACTCATTTTCATAATTTTCTTTAATGTTGCTTCAGGGTCACCGTTGTGAGCATTTATGATTTCTTCAAAAACTTCATAACATTTCCCATGTAAATTGGCTGCGTCTTAAAAAATTAAACGTATAAAATTCATATTTAGGTATTTTTTTTTGTTTTTCAATAAGCGTACAAACGTTTTCGAATCCATTAACTTGATTGTAGTACAAAATCTTTACTAGTTTCCATAAGATGCTATTTCTTGAATTTTTATATTCATCAAAGTGGACATAGCGGAAAAGTAACTTAAGATCATCACAAAAATTTATAAATCTGATATATATCTCAATTTTATCCTGTCGGGAAATGTCACAAGTTTGTATTTTTTCAACTAAATCGAATATATCTGTTGCATGCGACAAAATAGTTTCTTCAAAAATATTAAAACCTTTAGAACCTGGAATGGTTAACGATAAAATAAATACACTTGCAGCTTCAAAAGATAATTTTCTATAGATTTTTTGGTTTGGGTCTAAATGAACAAGACATAAAAGTGTATAAATAAATGCCAAGTATTTATCTCTTGGAGCTACTTTAATTATGCTGTCCCAAGAATCGTATGTATTATCATATCCACTATTTGATTCTCTAAGAACTCGTATAGCTGAACACAATTCAGAAAGACTATATAAAACTGTTGATGAATTAATAGCGTTTCTGACCATTGGAAGTTTTAGTACTGATTTTATATTTTTCAATTTCCTTTGCTGCATATTGTTTAAACCACCGCTAAAAGTCTCTTTCTCTTTGGAAGGTAAGTTAGCTAATTCAGACAAGGAAAGCTCTTCCTCGCTACTGCTATCTGTTGGTTCATGTTCTGCTTCATTTTGATATTTTTGGTATATGTCACAAATATCTTCCCATTTTATGCTTGGATCATAATATTTATTTATACTTTCAAATATGTTTATCAAATCGTGCATTTGAAAATAAAACAAATGATCTATCAAAATTCAAAACATCAATAAAACGACAGCTATCGGTAGAAAATAGAACTGCAGGCAAAACCTGTAGGTAAAATATCGCACTTCACATCTACATTTTGTGGCTGCCGTTTACACACTGTGGCAATTGCAATTTGTGTCATTACGTATCAGCAAAATGACATTTTCAAAATATTTACAATGACAACATAAATGAAACTATAAAATACGTACATACATAAATAAATTACAATTCATATAATACATTATAATTTAATTAATGATTTACAAAATTGCTCTTTGATTTCACATGATTCTGGACAATTACGTACTATCGATAAAATGCGATATCGCTTGTATATTTCATTTAAGAAATAAAAGCGACACCAATTAATCTCTTTTCGACGATAAGAAAATAATATCGCTTATATTATATTCAAGAAGAAAAAATAGAAGAATCGAATTTCTTTTGGGAGTATCGCTTACTGGGACCATTTGTTACCGTTGATCTTATCATCTTCGATAAAAAAAGCAATAGCGTGGAGCATAATGATATCTTTCAAGGCCAATCAAATTCGTATCGCAAAAAATAAAAATTTCTTGCTGGGGTAACCAAAAAGGATCAACTGAAGAAAAGTACATATGTATATGTATATGTATGTATTTAAGTTAAAATAATTTTATTTTATTTTTTTTTTGGTTTAAAGAGAAAAAGCGTTATAAGCAAATAAATAATCAAAACGAAATTTATATGTGCTTCGGAGGAAATGGACACCTGATTTTATATAAGAAAGGAATTTTGTATGTAGAATCACTACTAAACATAGGATTCATTTCAAACAAAAGATACTTACATACATATTTCGAACAATATTCGAAAGTTAATGCAAATCCTTGTTCAGTCAAAATATGTATTAAAAATTTTTTTCTGGAGAAAATTTCATGAATTACGTATACTGGATGTGTCTAGTGTATTTCGGTCAAACTTCAGTGTTTGATACTATATCTAAACGAAATTTTTTGGTAAATTACTATTCACATGGACCTTGATCGTGTATAATTGCTTTTTTAATCGACGAGTCAGAAGATAGTAAGCCCGTGTCGTTTTATGTATTCCCGTACGTCGTGAGTGAGAAAAATTTTTGATATTGGATATTTGATTGTTCCTAAAATTAGCTACATATTACAAAATTTAAATACTATTCATTCATTTTTTTTTTAAGACGGAAGAGTTTATCCAATATTTTGAGGAAAAATTCGAAAATTCAATTGAAAGTAATATCATTAAAAAAAAGACATATCCAAACAAAAAATTACAATTGGAATTACAATCGTAAGGCAGTGTGAATTAACCTGAATTAGAGTTACAAATTGTAAGTAATTGTATATTTGTGAATTTGACTGAAATTCGAAAAAATAAAAATTAAATTGAAATAAAAACATTCTTTTTTCAACAAAAACATCACATTTATACATGTAATAGCTTTATTTATTCATATTATATAATTTTTAAATACAATCAGTATTTTTAAAAATTTTTTTATATTTACATACATAATTATATTTTAGCGATGTAATTTTCACCAATATTTATAATTATTTTTTAAAAGATTTTATTTATTTTTTTTTTTCAACTATTTTATAATTTTATTAGTTTATTACATACATGTGAACATATTTAAAATGTAAAAGGAAGCTGTATACAGTATTTTTTTTTTTATATAAGAATGATTTACTTTTTTTTTTTTATTATAATTAAAAACTCATATTCATTTGCATAAATTCAATAAGGAAGTTTCAAAATAAAAAGTATAAAAGTATGTAAACACTATTAAAATTTAAGCATCTAAGGGTCCAAAGAGATAAATGGCTTGATGTTTATCTTCTGGATTACCTAAATACTGGGCATAGAGCTCCTTATATCTGGCAAGGGTTAAGCCACCCTTTTTTCTGTCATCGTCCTTTTAATATAAAAAAAATATTACATATATATTTATTTTTAAAATATAAGTAAATAGAATATAAAAATTAAAAAGTGTATTTAAAATAATTAAGAAATTCAATTTTCTTTCTAGATTCTGGAATTTTCCATTGTATTGCTGCTTGAATAATATTTCAACAATTGCAATGTTAGTATGGTTAGTTGATGGTTAAAATTAGATAGATTATATTTAATTGAAGTAATTTTGAAGATTTTTTATTTTTAGAAAGAAAAAAAGTTATAGATTCATTTTTTTTTGTGTTTTTGTTTCTATTATAAATAAGTAAATATATAGGAAAAAAAAATTAATCTATATCTTTGAAAGACATTTTAAAATATATTGGATTACATTTAATAAATTTTTATAGGCTTCATCTATGCTAGTAACATCATCAACTACTATACGAGTAATGCAATTGTAGCGGAATTCTTCGTTGCTTAGAACTCCATCACCATTCAAATCAATCATCTTGAATGTAGCTTCAATAAAGGCTTTCATTGCCTAAATAAATATTTAATATATTAATATACAAATAAAATAAAATATATTTAATATTAATATAATTTTGATTAAATATTTATTATTTATTTTTGTAGATATGTACATATATTTCAAATATATTTCTTACTTGAGGGAATTCATCATATTTTTTGCCCATGCAAGTACGTTTTACAGCATCCTTGAATTCTTCAGTTGTGATTTTGCCATCCTGTATAAATATAATTTAAATATTTTGTAACTAATATGAATCTATAAATAATAGATTTAAACAATATTAGATTAAACTTTCCATAGAACAAGGAAAATATATGTAAGCATTATATAATATTTTTTAGCAACATTTTATGTAAATGACCAATTTCAGGAAGAATTTTTGTATGCTTAATGTTGAATGAAAAATAAATTAATTAGGTCCAATTTTAAAAGGTTTTTATTTTAAATATGTATTACATTAGAATAATGATATAAATCAAAATTTAATTTTTAAATTTATAATGATAACTATATTTTTAATATAAGATATTTCTATTTTTTTTTTCTCAGTAACAATTTATTATTATGCATGTACGAATTATTATTTAATTCTTTTCTATAAACGATATTAATTTTGGAATAAATACAATGCAATTAATGAATTTGTAATATTAAAATGAAAAAATAATAAAAATTTAATATAAAAATTAATGTGAAAATTTAAATAAATCGAAAAAACATTCCATTTACTATATACATAAATACATAATGTGTAAGTATTCTAATATATAAGAAGATCGAAGAAATTGCATATACGATTATTATTCGATTATCATGCGATTTGAAAATTTAATTATAAAAATCGGATGGTAATCAAATTATAATAGGTATGTCCAACAATAATATTAAATATTTTAAATCATACGTATAAAATTGTATATGTATACTCGTACAACAAAAACAATCAGTATATAAAAAAATTTAAGCACTTAAAAATCTCATGAGAGAAAACTATATTTACTAAGCTAATATTTGAGGATAATGTTATATAGGTTAACTTTTAGATCTCATCTCGTAGTGCATCGAAAAAAAAAAATAATATATAATTTTGTTATAACAAAAATTTTCGAGAAATTTAGAGTTTTGCAAAAAAAAAAATAATATATAATTTTGTTATAACAAAAATTTTCGAGAAATTTAGAGTTTTGCAAAAAAAAAAATAAAATTCTGACTTTAGCGAGCTGTATCTCGAAAAGTATGGCTCAAATCTAATAAATTTTAAGAACAGAAATGAACAACAATCAATCGGCTGTAAAACAAGCTCCTAATAATAACTCTATTTTATATGGTTTCGAAGTTATAAATGATCGGTAACTTTTTTTTCAAAAGGCTGTAGTTCGAAAATGAGTATATCTGCACCCCCCACACATTCATACAATTTTTTCCTGGAAATTGATCAAAGAATAATCCCTGAAATTATTTGCCACCTTATGCCAAACAGACTGTGTATGAATTTGAGTTAAATATGTATATATGTTATATATTATGAAGGTTTTCTTTAATTTAGTTTTAAAACAGTTCTAATTTGTAGTACGTTTGAAAATTGTATACACAGCACAAAATATCATATTGTTCGGAAATTATTCGAACTTCAATACGAAAATTCATTTTGCAACAAAGAAATTTCGGAAATGTAATGTAAACATTTTTTCACTGTTGCATGATATTTTTTTTCCTTGTAAATTGAAAAATTTTAATTTTTATAACAATGTTATTTATGTATATCATTTTTGACCAACCGATTTATTAGAAGTTTCAGAATTTGCAGATTGTGTAAACATTAATCAATAATTAATATATTATGTATTATATATATTAATTATTGAATATATTCAAGCATTTTCTATAAACTAAATGTAGTGTGATATGCAAGTAGAAGAGTGTGATATTCCACATTATCAAAAGTGTGATATACCAATTGTACAAGTTATTAGGAAATGTAAGTACTAGCAGAGAATATTGCAGTATACGTATACAAAAATACATTCAGATACGCTTATATACTTTAAATTTATGATATAATTAATATTTATAAAATTAAATTTGATTTATCATTATTTATTCAATATTTTCTAACCTTATATTTTTTCGGTTCATTTGATTTGTTAATTGATTTATCAACATTTTTTTTTTGGTTAGTTGTTAAAAAAACCAAAAAAATGAAAAAAAAAGACAAAATAAAAACATTTAAATCATAAAATATTGGACATTTTCCAAACACCAAATTAAATGGAAATTTTTTTTTTTTTTGGTAATGTAGGAATATGAAAAAATTGTATATCTATATCTAAGTATTCTAAATTCTAAAAAGTTTTCAATTTTTATAGCTCGCATAATTAATCAAAAAGATAAAATGACACGATGTGCCATTACTGAATGATCACAAACTAAAAAATTATATATTAATATATTAAAATATTCATGTATATAATAATTATGTTTGTATTGTTTGTATATAGATTAATAATCAAAACAAAAGCGGTTCAATGTAGTTCAATATTTAGTGTCGAAATGTTCAATGAACCGAATTTTTTTTTATTATTATTTCTTAAGTTAAACACGTTTTGTTTTAGAATCAAGTGTGTGACATTTATAATAATAGATCGTCACTTCTATTTTATTATATTAAAAAAAAAAAATAAACGCGATAGGATTTTTATTAAATATTAGTCAATATCGATTATTATAACTCAAAATCGATCAAAACGAATCAAAACGATTATTATAAATTTAAAATCGACTTTTTGACACCCGGTATATTTAGCTACCATAAATTTATATTGAATATAACAAATTATTAACTCTTAATATTGTATAATTAATAGAGAATTAACAAATAAATAGGTATACTTTTAAATTAAATAGGAATAAAGTGAAATATCAGAAAGTAGAATAAACAAAATGTTATGTTATGCATGATAGCAAGTATGTAAACATAAATAAATAATATTGTATTTTAAATTATTTTTAATTGAACAAACCTTATCGAAATCGGCAAGTTCTGAAATTTCATCCCACAAGCTTCTCATAACATGTTGATATTGAGATAATCTGGATGCACTGCAGTCACCTTTACCTTCAATGACACATGCACGAACTGCCATGCATTCAAAATCTTTTTGATCCAAGAATCCATTGTTGTCAATATCTAGAATAAATATATATAAAATAATTATACTCATATTATAATTTGTATGTTTAATTTAATGAAATATTTTGTATTTGTATATCTAAAATATTTATTCAAAATTAATTTAAATGTATGTTTTTAAAAAAAAAAAAAATTGTTTTCAAAAATGAAAAAATTATATGCAAAAAATTTTAACCATTTACATCAGTGTATCATTTTGAATTTTTAATCATTGTACATATATGTATATGTATTACCCTATTCAGACTATTTCGATTAACATGTCATAGAAAATTGAATTCACACAAATAAGTTGGATTAGCTGTTTTCATTTGACAGTAAACTTGTTTTGGTTGACATTTTCTTTATTTCTGTATTTTAAATAATAAAAATATTAAAACTAAATAAAAACAATGAATTTTAATTTAATAAAAATTTTTATAGATTTTTAAAAATTTTTTGAAGTTTCATTCAAAATTTCCTTAGGATTGAAGAAAAATCCCAAAAACAAATCATTCACAACAGGAAAACATGTTGTTTTATTTTGACAGATATTTTTCATATAAAATTTGTAATTACGCTATGCGTCTATGCAAAGCATGTTATTCGTTGTAGTATGAATAGGGTATAAGTGGGCTATCTTATATTTTAATTTGAACGTCTAAATACTCAAAAACATATTACAATTTATAGCCGTTCCTTATTAAATTTTAATAGGAAAATTTTCAATGTCATTTCATAGAATTTGTTAAGCGAATCAAAATATTATGGACGATTTTTAACTGTATATACGTATATTTTTATTTATAAAAGTTTTTAGACTTATGGTGTAATAAAATAATGTGGAATACAAAAAAAAAAAAATTCAAGAAATATTCAAAAATTTCTTATTGTATCAATAAAAATACTAAAAATTTTATTTCCTACTAAAATTATGTATGAATAACAGGAAATAAGATATTAATTTTGTATATGTATGTATGTATGTATGAGAATATCAGCATATAACAACAATTTTTCTTCTTTTGACATTATCTGTTATAAACTTCATTTTTGAAAAATGATTTTTCATTTTATATTTTATGAGTGTATTTCGAAAGAAAATCAATTTCACGGGCATATCATAATTTTTTTTTTACGATTTTTTTCCTTTTAATATACCGAGCTGTATATAGCTATCTTTAGAGTTTTTAAGAAAGCATGTCAATAATAATAAAGCATGCCTATATTCACTTATTTCAGACTGTTGATATTTCTTTTACGTAGAAAATATATTTTTTATTTTCAAAAAAAATTTATTTTTAAAATTAGTAATTAGAGAAAAAAAAATATAAAATTATTTTTGGGATAAATAAATTAAAATCATAGCACGCGGTATGTATATATGTATATTAATATAATTTATAAAGCATAATATTAAATTTTTTAAATTATATGTGGAGGTTTTTAAGCTAAACACGTTAATCTTGCACGCAATATTATTTTTATAGATGATAAAAACTATTGTTATTTAAATACTTATGAAAAATGATCAGCAAGGCGGAATTATTCTTAATAAAGAGTAATAAATCATCTTGCCGTGTGAGACACAAAAGCTAACCATCTTGATTGTGAGACACAAACGTAAACAATTTGTCACTAGTGTAATGGAGTTTAAGAACTGTCAACGAGTACATCGGTTATGCTTTATTGACGGGTTGGTGAATGCTTAAAAAAATCTTTTATTTTCATAATTTATTTTTTAATAAAATACTGCCAGTTGCCATTAAACAAAGCGAATGGTTGAAATCCAATAAATTTTGAGCAACTAAATAGCTATTATTCAACCCAAACAGGATCGAAAATTTATATAAAAAAAAAGGAAGGAAAAAAATCGAATGCAAAAATACTACTTTAAAATTAATCTGATTCTAAATGTCGTGTAAAATAAATTTGGAGTACTCCGAAGATCTTTATAATTCAATGGAAAAACGAATATAATGCGTGATTAAGGCGAAAGGAGGTATCACTTAATATATTAAACGCATTGTTCAAGCATAGATAAACCGAGTACGAATAATCGTAAATAAGTACGAATTAATTAGTGAGGATATTAATGTTGAAGCTTCTTCAATAATGAATTGAAAGAAATTGATTGTTTAAAATTTAATTATACAAAAGCATTTGTATAATTGTCTTTGATTAAATTTCATTTCGAAATTACAAAACTATAAGAAGACATCATTAAAATATCTTCATATATATAATCGAAATTTAAATATTATTGTTGAAATTTCTATTATTTTATATATGAAAATGTAAAATTCATCCCTATACATATTCTTATACATCCATAATTTTCTATAGAAAATCTATATACATATTTATTTTTCTTTAACAGAAACGTATAAACAAAATTATAGTTTCATTCAAAAAAATATTTTAAATACATACATATGTACATATTTGATTATTAATTTTTGTTCAATATATGCAAAATATTATTATGTATGTACATATGTATATTATGTTTACATTCATCAATTGTGGCAGCTTACATTATTTTTATACAATTTTTTAATAACATTGTGTTTTTAAATATATATAAACAATTTCACATAAACAATTTTAAAAATACATACATATATACATTTTTGAACTAATGATAAAATTTGTTACATATACATATATATATATATATTTCTTAATTATTGTATATTTACATATTGTACATATATATACATTTTACGTATATATACTATGTACAGAAATTTTGCTCTAAAATAATATTATGAAAGTATTCAAGTTAAGAAATTTTGTAAATTTTGTTATGAATATAAATTTACAAATAAGAGAAAATAAAAAAAAAAAATAAAAAATTTAGTATATACACATAAAATGATATATAACATAATATGTATATATTATATACAATGTTTAGGAAAACAAATATAAATAATTTTTATATATATAGATTGGCAATTAAACCACCTGCATAATTTTAAAACTATAAAATATAAATTATGTTAAATGTTGGGGAAAAATATATTTTTTTTTCATATAAATAATTTATATATGTATATATATATATAGGTATATATTATAAATTTAGAATGACATTCTGTCAAAATCTATTAGGAAATCTATTTCTTAATTTTTTATATTTATTTTTTTTTTTTAATTATTTTTATTATTATGTATTTAAATTAATATATACAGTAGTATAATAATTATGTGTGAATATATTCTGTACTATATTCGGGTCATGAAAGGTAATTATAATTAAAAAAAAAAAATATTATAAATTTTGAATTTTTTTTTTTTTTCAAAAAATTAAAATTTCATTGATCTCTTTGGGATGATTAAAGTTATTTTTAATTAGAATAATTTGAATTTAATTGTTGATAATTTTTAAAATCTTAATTAAAATAAGAATTATAAAATATAAAATGGCAAATGCAAACAATTCTGATGTGCTCTTTTTTCTATTTAAATAAATTAAAAAATATATTTTTAGGTAATTTAAAAAAATTACATCAAATCAACCAATTTTTTGTTGTCAGTGATTAAAATAATCTTAGCCAAAATAATTTTTATTAAATTTTTTTTTTTTTCAATTCCCTTGAACTAAATTTTAAATATTTTTATGTTTAATATTAAATTTTATTTAAATTAAATGAGAAATATTATTAACTGTGAATTTTTTTTTTTCATTATTTTCTTGTAATTTTGAAAAATTTTTAATATATTTATTTTAAAATCCGGTTAAACACCAATATTATATTTCTATAATAAAGTATATATGTGTGTGTATATATGCACATGAATGTAAATTAGAATAAAAATAAAAACGAGACTAAAGTATTTTGGCAAACATAAAGTTTTTAAAAAAAATTTTCAACTTTAGTTACAATTAATTAAAAATTTTTCAAAAAAATTGGAAAACATCGAAATTTTGTATTTTCTATTCTTAAAGTATTTAAAATAATCTGTAAATTAAAAAAAATTTTTTTAATTAATTAAGTAATAAAATTTTTTTCTTCTAATTTTAAATTTAATTTTTGTAATTAAAAAATTTTATACAAATATGCGGATATAAGCGATTTTTGCTTTTGTTTTTTTTTTTATTATAACGCGTATATAACGTAATGCTAAGCGTAAATTTTTCATTTATTTTTAAATTTTATAAATAATTTAAATAAATATAAATTAAATTCTAATGTAATTGTAGATTAATTAAATTAAATTTTTCAAATGACAATAATTGATAAAATTGATGTTAAATTGGAATTTTCTTGAATCTATTATTTCGGAATAAAATTAAGCAAAATTCTACTACATTTTATGTGTTTTATTTAGGTTCAAAGTATAGCTTTAATTTACTAAATTCTAACTATATTCACATTTTTGTTCATAATCATAAGGGTACATAAGTATTTAATATATACTAAAATTTTTACAGAATTTCTCTATTTATGTCAAACCAAATTTACAAGGAAATAAAGAACTACTAAATACAATATATAGCATTGTTATTTAAATGTTAGAAGAATATAATAGAAATCTAATTCCAAAATAAGAAGAAATATTAAAATAAAAAAGATAAGAAATATTAATATATATAAGTAATTAGTAATTATTGAATTGTATAACAGAAATTATAACATATATAATACAATTATATCATTTTCAAATTGTATAACAATTAAATAATATTCTTAAAGAACTTTATATATATTGTAGAATTTTATATGATAAAACTGTTCAATTTTTTTTAGTTTTATCTGCTTGAAAGACTCTATATATATATACTTGTACTAATATGGTTTTTCATTCCGCACGGTATTTATGTCTATTGTATAACAATACAATATTTCATTTATTATTTTTTTTTAAATATACATATATTATAATTTACAATGTTTTATTGTATAATTTTCAAAAATTTGAAATTGTATGATGATTAGGTGTATACAAAATATTATGTACATAGAAATGTTTAAGAGATTGTTTTCGTTTTTTTAGCTCAGAGTTTGAAT